ATATAATATGGTTAAAGTAAAACTGTGTTATACATATATAATATGGTTAAAGTAAAACTGTGTTATACATATATAATATGGTTAAAGTAAAACTGTGTTATACATATATAATATGGTTAAGGTAAAACTGTGTTATACATATATATGTTTAAAGAGAAATCTCAGTGTGTAAAAAGTAAAATTGTACTTTTGCTTATTTTTTTTTACACATTTTCCATTTTGTTTACAATAGGCTAAATATGAAGTAATAATATATATATATTTAATTGATTCAATACATGAAACTTCATTGTATTAGGTTCCAGAGGCTTTTCAGAAACTGATAAGTAAAGTCCAAAAGACAATGGGACATGCCATTGAAGAGGAAGAAAGTATTCCACTTGATCAAGTTACAAACTTTGAAGAAGTAAGTTTTATTACTTGTTTTTAATGAAACTTTAGAAAATGTAATAAAGTCCAATCAAACTTTTATACATCAATGTATAGTTATTGTTTTCCTAACTATTATCAGAATTCTTATTTGGGGATGCTGTTTTATCTGGTTTAAGTTTCGAGCTACAAAAGTACTAAATGTTATTTGAATCACATGCAAGAATATAAAAAACTAAATTTAAAAGCATTTAGTTTAAACATCAATGTAACAGTATCTACATTTTTGTTATAATTAAAATTGTGAAACTTTATTCAACATATTTGAATAGGTATGTAAAGATGTTGTGGAAAAATTGTCAGCCCTTCGAGACTGCCCGTCTCGCCTTGAAACTCCAGTCATCTACCACTTGGACGTTGGAGCTATGTATCCAAATATAATTCTCACCAACAGGTTGCAGGTAGGTCTTTCATTTAATTTGGTTAGTTTGGTAGACTATGTATTTTAATATACTGGATTTTCTTATACAAATATATGTTGTTTCAACACTACCACTGTGTCACAACATGGTTTCTTAAATCAGAGGACATTTTTTCTGTGAAGCTCCATGTAGTAATGTTTACTATAGTTCTGAATTTTCTAACTGTATCTTCAAAAATTTGGTAAACTTTTAGTAAACATTTTAAGCATGTTGTTGATTTTTTTGATAAAGTATTTTGACTAAAGATTTCTTTGTGAATTTATGAAACTGTTACTGAGTCAATCTAATTTGATGACGAAGAACCCTTTTTTTTTAAAATAAAGTTTGGCTTGAATAGGTAGTGAAGGAAACTATCACAAATGTATGTGTCGTCAATCTACGTCATCATCGGGTACAGATGATTATATAAGCTTCTTGAAATGTTGTGCATTTGTAATAATGTTTCTTTCACTACCAACTCCATCTGAGTCATTCTGAGTGAAAGGAATAAAAATACTTCATTTCATAACCTCTAGAACCTCCTAAATGAAAGTTGTTTTTCCATTAATACTTTATATTTTGTCTACTCTAATACTAAATGTAGTGAAATAATCAGTGAAGCAAAACATGTACAAATACAAATTAAAATCAATGATACCTTTTTTTTGTTCTAGAATGATTGTGAATTGTAACAGACAATTACGGTTATTTGTCAAACAACCTGAGCTATCTATTCTTTTCACAACTGCTTGCTTTTGAGTTTATTAATTTACAATGTCCTTTTGACCCTATCTAAGTGTTACAGGCAATTAACCACAGTGCAAGATCTTATTGTAAGCAACTGATAAAATAAACACACGATACAGTTATCTTGAGTTTATCTTGTGAAATTTTTACTTACTTTTTTTTTGTTATCTGACATAATAAGTTTCAGATTTTTAAATTTTAATTACTTTTGACTATTTCAGTAAATTTTACTCAGTGTCTTTAGCACTTGTTTTTTCATACTATATTGTCTGTCACAAAATCATTAATCTTCCTTTCAAATGTGTATTTTAGAACACGAAACATATCTGGGCACAAGAATATAATGTCTCAAAACTATTATAATTTAACTGACTTTCCAACTAATCTATTAATAGTTTTAAAAAGCACCTTTAGCTACTAAGAGAAGAAAAACACAGTTGTAAACAATGTAAATATCCATTTTCAGGCACTAAGATGAAATAACAGTAGAAGGAATCTTGTAAAGAAAAAGCTGTTCTTTCTATTGGCTAACAATAATCCAATAGCAATGTCAGAAAGAATTACTGACATTTTTTGAAAGACTGAATGATGTATTAGAGGTGTGTCATGAGCATGACATTTGTTTTAAATCTCGGTTAACCAAGATGATTGGAGGTTCTAAATTTATATTCTAGTTTGTCGATATTTATGTTTTTCAAATTAGCTAGGGAAGAAACAAGTTCACATAAAACCGAATTGGGAATTTTTGGAAATTAAAATTATATTAAAATATAAATTATAAACTACATTTTGATGCCAATTTATTGACATACATTGACAAAGTTGTTTAATTAAATTTTGAATGCAGCTCTGTAGAATTGTCATGACATGGGCACTTTGTTTGATCCTGCAATATTCATATGGTTAATAGGTACAAACATTAAACTTTATAAAAAGTATAAAAATATGAACAGTTACATGTCCAACTAACTTAAGGCTGAAATATTTTCCATCTAGATCAGTGGTTTTCAATTTTGTAGATTGCATGCAGTATGTTGCTAATATAAAATTAGAATAAACAGAGCAATATACATTTAAAAATATTTAAAATATTGTTGTTCACTTTTAACCCCTTTTACTGTAACCACATTTATATTTTTGTACTGGTGTCTTTAATTAGCTGAAGTCAATTTTTAAATTTCCTGTAGGTTTGAAATTTCTTCTAAATTAACCTGAAATGTGAAGAAAATACTAACAATGATGTTCACATGGGCAATTTTTAAACAGGAATGGACTTTATTTGAGTATAAAAATGTTGAAGTGTTTTTTTTTTTTTTGTTTTTTGTTTTAAAAAGTTGTCTGAAAAGTCATGTCATAAGTCAGAATTCAAATCAGTCACAGCTTATCACACAAAGTTTAGACAAAGCTACCAGTCACAGCTTATCACACAAATAGTTTAGTCAAAGCTACCAGTCACAACTTATCACACAAATAGTTTAGTCAAAGCTACCAGTCACAACTTATCACGCGAATGGTTTAGACAAAGTTACCAATTGCAGCTTATCACAGAAATAGTTTAGACAAAGCTACCAGTCACAGCTTATCACAGAAATGGTTTACCAAAGCTACCAGTCACAACTTATCACAGAAATTGTTTAGACAAAGCTACCAGTCACAGTCTTATCACAGAAATAGTTTACCAAAGCTACCAGTCACAGCTTATCACAGAAATAGTTTAGCCAAAGCTACCAGTCACAGCTTATCACAGAAATGGTTTACCAAAGCTACCAGTCACAGCTTATCACAGAAATAGTTTAGCCAAAGCTACCAGTCACAGCTTATCACAGAACGTACAGTGTATAGTTCAAACAACGGAATTTTTACCAAGACTTTAAAAACCATGTTGGATTTAAAAAAGCCAAATTAAGTTTTGATTTCAAGAAATGTTTTAAGTGTTAGAAATTAATCTGATTAATGAAATTAAAGAATATAATTATTTTTTCATTTGTTTGACTGTTTTAGCCATCAGCCATGGTAGACGAAGCTGTTTGTGCAGCATGCGACTTCAACAAACCAGGAGCAAAATGTCAGCGAGTCATGCCATGGACATGGAGAGGAGAATATAGTAAGTGACTTTTTCTCAGAAGCTCTTGTGAAGAACCTGGTTAGAAAATAGAAAGTCTAGCACACACACACACATACATCCTAAAAAAATTGGATCTCGTGTATTTGAAAAAAAAGAGAGAGAGAGAAATTTTGTTACTAGTGGATTTAACATATATGATAAATGTTGTGAAATTATTCATTGAAAGTTGAGATTTGCATCAGATAAGAAAAATTTTCAAATTGGATTTTAGGTTTTTAAATTAACTAGTTTTTCAATTAAATCTTGAATATTTAAGAAATATATTAAACAAATTTTGTAATCTTAAGTCGGTTCTCTAATTCAGATCATTTCAGAAAATTGAGTGTCATTTGTGTGCATCACACAAGTAAAAAACTTTTAATTTTACAGTGCCTGCTAGTCGAAGTGAATTTCACCGAATTCAGCAACAGTTAGAGACAGAAAAGTTTCCTTCCTTAGAACCAGGGGGAACTGTACGAGCATATCATGAACTCAATCGGGATGAAAAAGCAGCAGTAGAAAAAAAGAGACTCTCGGGTAGGGGGGAATATTTTATAAGTACAGGGTTTGCAAAGGTCATGAAAATCCTGTAATTTTGTAAAAAAGATATTCAGTACTGGAAAAACATTGGTTTTTATTAAGAGGTCCTGAAACACTTTGAACTTATCTTCAGCATAAACACTTCGAAATTAATAAACATTTTTAGCCTAAGTTCTTTAATAATTATTGCCTAAAATTATTTCTTAATAAAAAGAGAGAGAGACAGAAATGATATTCCAGATGGAAACAGTTAGTATAATAGAAATATTTTCATGAACCTTATCATTATGCTATTAAATACATCCTGTCTGCTCATACCTGACAAAGTAACCCATTTTTTATACAGAGATCAATCTAGACTATGATATTTTGAGTGACATTTTGGGCCTCATTACAAAATATTTTAGACAACCACAACTGTACGTACGATATTGTGATGTAATAATATTTCGTTTCTTTTCATTATTATTAGTTTTTCTTTCAGATCTAAAACTAATAAAATTCTTTAATAACTGTTCATGATTTTACTTGTAATCATAATATTCTGTCAACAGATGGAATTATTCAGAACAATTATTGGTGTAAATATTCTTTAACTGTGCATACATGTTATCATACAATAAGTCTTACAGACTGATCACCACATTAAAATATAAAGGTTTTATTGACCCAGTTACCAGTTCTTTGAAAATTTCTTTATTAAGTGGAATTATACAGTTTTTATTCATTCATTCCGTAAGAAAAGAAACTTAATAAATAATAGAAATATGTATATATTGGAGGTTACTTTTCTAGATTATTGCAGAAAGGCATACAAGAAAGTGCATATGACCAGAACTGAAATTCGTTATACGACAATTTGCCAGAGAGAGAACTCTTTTTACGTCGATACTGTAAGAGCTTTCCGTGATCGGAGATATGAATTTAAAGGACTGTTAAAGGTGGGAACAAGAAGTGTAATTATATTGACTCATTATTTTGAAGACTAGTAAATTTTATGCTAAGCCAATTGCGCTTAATTTTGAGACTTGTAAAGAATTTCCAGAAACATCACATGTAGAAGGAGTAATCATCATTCTTGTTTATTGTAATAGCCTTATAAGTATAATGATACTAGATTTCCAGATTTTTTTTTAATATTAGAGACAAAATATAGTTGTGATAAAAGTTAGTTGAGCGTCTTATTCAAAGCGATTGAACAGTGCATGTTGATCTTTTGTTGTTACCGAAGAATTGTTGAAAATTTTAAAATCGTTGTTTTGTTTAATCTATTTTGACTTATTCAAAGCGATTGAACAGTGCATGTTGATCTTTTCTTGTTACCGAAGAATTGTTGAAAATTTTAAAATCGTTGTTTTGTTTAATCTATTTTGACTCGTAGGTCGCAAAAAAGAAAGTGGCCGAAGCAGTAGAGAAAGGAGATGCTGCTGAAATTAAAGCAGCTAAAAATCTGGAAGTATTATATGACTCATTGCAGTTGGCCCACAAGTGTATTTTGAACTCTTTTTATGGCTATGTCATGAGGAAGGGGTAAACAACTTTCAAGAATTAAATAAAACATTTTAATTTTACAAAATATTTTTTTACTTAAACACTTATCTAACACTTTTGTATAAAAATGATTCTAAAAAAATTTTGAAGTTTCAGAAAGTTGCTTTATTCTTGGTAAATTCTTAGTTTTATAAGTTATATGAGTTGCAGTACAATGTTTTAGTTTTACAAAATAACTAAGTAACTCAGTTTAACAATATCATGTAAAAATAAAGTATATATTTTAATTTCTTCATGCAACCAGTGCTCCTTCATGTATAGAGACAACTGAACAATATTAGGAATTAAATATAATACCAAAACCTTGTTGAGAACTTTTTGTATCTATCAGCATGTGTGTGTGTATATCGATACTACACACGAGTTCAAATAATGAACAAATTCTATAACAGACTGCTAGAGCTATGAAAGATACTAATTACTATATAAAATTTTGAGACTAACCCTAGTAAAAACTTCTTGAGGGTGAGAAAATTCATCTGTTGAAAGATAACTTTAATTGAGTATTAATCTTCTCGTCGGTGAGTCAGCAGTAAGTTTACGGACTTTTAATGCTAAAATCCAGGGTTTGATTCCTCTCGTCTTCCAGGGCTCAGCAGTAAGTCTGAGGGATTTTCACACTAAACATTCAACTTTATAAATTTGCAGTTGGTAGAGCACAAATAACAAAAAATACAAATACTCCTGAATGTTTTAACTTAGTTTAAAACATTTAAGTAATACAACTATATATTTATATCCTATATAAAAAGAATAATAAATTAATTTTATTGGCTCCAATGCTTCATTTTCACTTTACAAAACCCTCTGGTGGTCATTAATTTTAGATTAGTAAGGGAGTGAGGTAAGATTGTGTAAAGTTTTTCGAGGGTTCTCAAAGAACATTAAATCTATGGAAGTACGTGAAACAAACCGGTAGTTCTTGTGTTCTGTAAGTAAGATATTCTTTCTTTAACAGTATTGGTTGGAATATAGTTTGATTTTAATATTACTATTTTATAAATATTATTTTGCGTTGTTTGCCTAATACATTGATTTAGGACTATTAAACACAAATTCCTCAGCTGGCCAAATCTTGTGAAATATTATTTGAATTATGGCCAAAAGACATCCAACTCATAAAACAATGTATTATAATTTTTGAACAAGAATATTGCTTTTTAGATAGCTTGCTTTGATGTGAAGTTAGTATATAATTAAGTCATATATATTTGTTTTTAATTTATTTTAAATTTATGAAAAAATCTAATTTAGGTTTAAAAATGTTCTTTGATTTATGCTTAATTATTTGTTTGAGATGTTTATGAGTTAGTGATTTTTATGAATAATTAAATACTCCTACTGGGTTGAAAATTGTTTTTGTTTTTTTTATGTATTTTACAATACATTTTATCTACTTATTGTGTTCATAATTTACTGTCTTTTGTTATATTTCATACAGTGCTCGCTGGTACAGTATGGAAATGGCAGGTATTGTCTGTCACACAGGTGCGGGAATTATAACTCAAGCTCGTGAATTAATTGAACAAGTTGGGTAAGAGGCTCTTTATTGTTCTGTATTTACAGTGAGAATAATTTGATTTAAAAATCTAGCTTGAAGTTTTATAACATGGAACAAAAATAACATTTCATTGTTATGTTTTCTTGCTACGAAAGACTTTGTTATGTTCTGTTATTTCTTCTTATTTGTGTTAATGTTATTCTCCAAAACTATTCTGTGGTAAATCCTAGAATAAATTAAGCTTCAGTTTGACTGATATATCTTTCTTGTCGTATCATAGCATGTCAGATTGTCTGTTTTCTGGTTTACCTGTGTAATAAATCAATTTTTGCATCAACAATGGGCAGGATTGGACCTGTAGAACCTCTTGCATGCCATTCATGGGATCTGTTAATTGAACTAATGGGTTAATCTGCTATTTGTTGCCATTAAGACACATTTTAACAACTCAGATTATCATGTTTTTACCCTCTGATGAATGACACGTCCATTTTATAGATTTCAATTTTCTTACAGTAATTCCATTTTTGCTTCGTCTGCAAGTGAGACTGAGGCAAGAACCCCTTACACATCGTACGATCATACGGTTAACTCACTGGCTATTACTAATGAAGCACTTTTAAACAACTCAAACTACTATACTTTTCTTTTAAAATTTGTTCGTAGGTATTAGTTGTATTGTGTTACTTAAAATACATAAACACCTCAAGGATTTATTACTTGTAATTAATGATAAATAAAATCTTTTTGAATACTTGCAGAGCTATATTAAATGTCTGGTTATTGGTAAGGTGTAGAAAGCATCACAGTACTGTGAGTCAGGATGGTGTTATAAACAAGTGACTTGTGGTTTTTTTATAGGCGCCCTCTTGAGCTGGATACGGATGGTATATGGTGTGTTTTACCTGCATCCTTTCCTGAAAACTATGTTATAAGAACAACAAATCCTAAAAAACCTAAAGTAACTGTATCGTATCCAGGAGCTGTTTTAAATATCATGGTTAAGGTATGAAGTTCGTTATAGTACTTTTGGTAGAATTATACACTCATTGTTTGCTGAAGTAGAAAGTTGGTTAACTTTTTTTCAAATAACCTTCTTTGTTTAGTATTTGAAATATTGTTTTGTTTTTGTTTAAAAGGGTTTGTTTTCATATCATGTGATCAAAGTTATTTGTGAAAGTTGAATGTAATATGTTTGTGCTGACGTAAATAAACTGTAATAAAGACAAAAACTATAAAAATCTTCTGTTAACCTTCTGTTGTTAACTTTAGTTAAAAGTGGTGTATTATTTTAAAAGTTTCTTCAAGATTACAATCAATGAAAAAAATCAATTCATAATTTGAGTAATATTTTATTAATAATTTTTTGAAACAGTTTTGTTTCTGTTGTCATTTTAGATTGGCCATAAAACTAAATTAAAAGTTTGATATTTCAAATGTGAAAATATATGTAAGTATTCTGTCTTCTTTTATTTTCAGGAACAAAACACTAATAACCAGTACCATGAACTGGTTGACCCAAACAAGATGACGTACAAAATACGCAATGAAAACTCAATATTTTTTGAGGTTGATGGACCATATTTAGCAATGATTCTTCCAGCATCAAAAGAGGAAGGAAAAAAGTTGAAAAAAAGGTATTTTAAATTTATTGAATATCTGGAAAATGAACAAAGAATTAGGGAAAATGATTTTAATAACATTTTCAACTTGTCCGATGTGTGATATTTCTCTGTGTGTGTCAGCTTTAATATTACACTAAAGATATTCACACTTGTTAAATGTTTCATTTTTAATTAGATGTCAGCAAATATCAGTTGACATAATAATAATATATGTGAATTTTTGTTTTAAAGCTGTAATGTCTGAACTTCAAGAAATATTGTGACGATTCAACACAATTCTGAACTTTAACCTATCATACCCGTGATTTATTTGACATGTTATAATTTTTTATTCATCAACTCAGATATGCTGTGTTCAACTTTGATGGATCACTTGCCGAACTCAAAGGCTTTGAAGTAAAGCGCCGAGGAGAGCTTCAATTAATCAAGATTTTTCAGTCATCAGTGTTTGAAGCCTTTCTCAAAGGAAAGACTTTAGAAGAATGTTATGCCTCAGTTGCTAAAGTGGCAGACTATTGGACCTTACTGTACAAAACATCCAATAGAACTCAGACATTCCAAACCTTACTGTACAAAACATCCAAAATGTCTGAGTTCTACTGGTTGGATGTTTCATACAGTAAAGTAATGTCTGAGTTCTACTGGTTGGATGTTTCATACAGTAAAGTAATGTCTGAGTTCTACTGGTTGGATGTTTTGTACAGTAAGGTAATGTCTGAGTTCTATTGGTTGGATGTTTGGTACAGTAAGGTAATGTCTGAGTTCTATTGGTTGGATGTTTTGTACAGTAAGGTAATGTCTGAGTTCTATTGGTTGGAGGTTTTGTACAGTAAGGTAATGTCTGAGTTCTATTGGTTGGATGTTTTGTA